TTTCTTTCCTGTTGAGTTTCATAAATTACTTGTGTTATGTCTGTAATTCACCCTTCCTCCTTTTTGCATTTATCATAGAACAGGTAAACAAATATCTTTTGAACCCCTGGCTGAAGCCACTTAATGTCCAATTGGACTTAAAGAGAGAGAAAAAAGGGGTGCCGGGGGGGTTCTGCAGGGATTAGGGAACAAAAGGATCCTTCTCTGTCATCAAAGAGGATCTACTCTGCGCTCATCCCCTTTTCTGTGGAGACAGCTTTTTATTTTTGGGAGTGGAAGTGATGGCTGCAGGGAGGAGGACGGCTGGGGAGATACCAGCAGAGTTTGATGGTAGGAGATGCAGATTTCAAAGTAATCTTTAACTTTAAGCCCTACAGTCCCCATGACATGAGGCCCTTTGCTCTAGACACAGCGTTGCCTATATTGCTCCCAGTAGAAGTCTGACACCCCTCCTTCCTTTTTTTTTCTCTCACAAGCTTTTGTCATGGTGGCATTTAAGCAGCATTATTCACTGACCAAAAGAAGGAATTCTTTTGAGGGACCTAAGAGGGATGGATTTTAACTACAGAGACTACTGTCTCCTCTTAGAACAACACTGGGTGGATATAAGTGCCTACTGTGTGACTGGGGTTCGACACAATGGAGACATCAGCTAGATCATAAGTCTTTAAGGCCAGTCAATACCCAAAGTTACTATTGTTGTTCAACTTTTTAGAAGATGTGGAATTATGGTAATAATTATATACAAAAATAACAATAAAATGCAAATTTTTAACCTTGAACAAACTTAAAAGTAATCAGATGATTTAGAACCCTGCAGGAGGTCATTTTCACTCCAGTTGTTATATCACTCAGTAATACTATGTATTTAGGCCCTGTACCCCATAGTTATTTCTTTTTCTATTAAAGGAGGATGTCCCCTCAGGGTTACTGATCTGGGATTCCCTGCTGACCTGCTTCACCGCAGGGAGTCACCGTAATCACACAGAGGTGGCTTTGAGGTAAACAGGTTTATGTTGGGAGTATAATAGGTGATTGTTGAAAATAAATGTGCCCTTGCAAATAAGAAATCAACTTCATTAGCAAGGTAAAGAAAGACTGCCGTATTTAAAACACCAAATGGATATTCAAACATAGTATTTCCAACTTACTTTTAAACAATAAATGGAGTTTGGGATTTTGTACATTTTAATCTGTCAGGGTATAGACATCAGAGTTCCAGAACAAATAAGAAAATAATTATTGATCCTTTAAATACTTTGTTGTCAATTTTTTTTATGTCCAAACTAGTCATGCTCAAGGCTCTGTATGAAACAGACATAACCAATATATAGGGAATTCAATCTATTCAAGAGGCAAAACTTTAATTCACCTGGCAATAAGATTCTGACAATAAGTTTCTGACAATAAGATTCTAGTAATGAATAAGTCTAGTCAAATCAAGTTTGTCATGGTATGAAAGATTAAGAAAACCATTGTCATTGCAACTAGCCTTCCACTTCTTTGCAATATCTCATACTTAGTAAGTGTTGAAAACACAAAGAAAATTTTTAACACAAAACAAAACAAAAAAACTTAGATTAGAATGCCTGGCCATTTCAAGTTTTTCAGGTGTATCCAGCCTTCTCACAGTTAAGCTTCTATAAATTTCTTTAACTTGCAGTATGCACAGGTTGCTGGAATTTTGCATATGCATTTTGTTTTTGGCCTGTTCAGATTTTAGTTCAGGGCTGCATGGTGATGCAGTGGTTAGCACTGTTGCCTTGCTGCAAGAAGGTTCTGGGTTTAATCCCCAGGCTAGGGTCTTGTTCATGTTCTCCCTTTGACTCTTTGGGTTCTTTCCTGGTACTCCGGCTTCCTCCCACAGTCCAAAAACACAACTGTTAGAATGATTGGCATTCCTAAATTGTCCTTATGTCCGTGAGTGTGTGTGTGCATGGTTGTATGTCATTGTGTCTCTGTTCTGCCCTGTGACAGACCGGAGTGTACCGCTTCACAGACTGCAGGAGATAGGCACCAGACCCACCTCGACCCTGATGGAATAAGTGGGAGAAGATGGATGCAGAACTTTGTTCACTTTAAGCTTTTTAAATGAGTTAGATTTTTTATTTTTTTATTTTAGACTTAACTTTTTCCTTTTGAAAGCCAGATCGTCTTGTCAAATAATATTTTTACTAAAAAGGTAACGTAGTGTGAACTTAAATATCTTGTTTATTTTCTGATTGCATATATTCTTTGTTAAATCCAATGTGTATAGTGGTACTTATGTGGTATCATCTTTGGCATTTGTCAGGAAGAACTGAAGTCACTGGGTTTTATAGCCCAACCCAAAAGTTTCTTAGGTGCAACATTTCTATCCTCTAGGCTGCAAATAATTGCTTGAATTTCCACTTCCCCAGTTTGTTCCTGGCTGTTAACTAATTTTCATTTGGGATTTACTCATCAAAGTGCTGTTTTTAATTTAAAACCACAAACAGGCAAAGGTGAATCGTAACACTTAGTTAACTTTATAACAAACATGTACTTTCAGTTGTAGTTTTAATATGCTTTACTTTTATGTGTGTTTAAGAAATATCATTAGTTTACTGACTTAACCGAATAAGGAACAAGCATGCGTTACACACAAAAATGGACCAGGGACTTGCATTTTAGAGTTTATGATTTTTTTCTGTTTGTTTTTGTTTAATCTCCAACATATTTACATTTAATTCTGTAAGCACTGATTTCTTAAGTTTTATTTGGAAAATTAATATTTGCTGAACTGTCTCTCCTCCCTGAGTTTTTATTTTACAATTAGATTTTTGCTTTTAGCAATTATCATACCTTAGTCTTTCAAACATCAGGATTATCAGGTAAGTAAAATTTCAGTCCGTCTGATTAATTTTTTATAAGTTTATTAAATAAGTTGCTATACTTGCCCTGCGACACAGTGGCGACATGTCCAGGTTATACCCCGCCTTTCGCTCATAGACTGCCATATATAGGCACCCGCCCCACCAAATGGATGGATGAATCACATGTTGTATTCTGAATAGCTTTCTTGCCAAAAACTTTTTTTTCTCTTACTTGAGAAGGCAACCTCTCTTATTTATGGAAGGCAACCTTTTTGTACTTTACTCATGTAAAAATATATCAAGGTAGGTCTACTCTTACTTAAGTACAATTTTTGAGGGCTCTACTCACCTGTGCAGGCTGGGTAATTTCAGCTAAAGATTGTCTTAAAAACTGTGAGACACAGAGAATATATATGCCTAATTTCACACAGTGTAATTTAAAAACATCCGGAACGCCTTTCGAGAGATCAAATGGTTGGATGATTTTATGATTTATTTTTAACATGGTAAGAATGGAAAAATTGTGCTTTTTAAATTACATAAAACTAAAATGTTTTCATTATGAAATTGTTTGACTGCCCGGATGAAATGTGTTTGTCACTAGAAGCTGGTGCTGGCTATTGTCAATTGCCAAACTTGAATCAAAATAACTGATATTTTTTCAGTATGAAAAAATTTAAACATGTTACTTATCTTTAGAGATTGAATCTTGACATCACTGTGGTAGTGAAGATGATTTTTTTTTTTCACTTGCTCTGTTTGGTCTTTTTTCATTAGTAAAAAACACAACAAAAAAACCCCCAATGTGTACAGTGTATTAGCTTGTCTGAGTGTCCTACGATAGAGAGTTTTATTTTTATTTATCTTAGAGGAGTTCTTTTTAATATAAAGATATGCTAAATAAAAAGCACCAGTCTCCACATCACCAACTCTGCAGGGATACAATAGCTTGGAAAATCTATGGCTTGGTGAGAATTAACCGAAATATGACTTATTCAATTATCCAGGAAATATTTGACAGCCTTAAATTAGACATTAGGAAGTTTTTGTTGTTGTTGCTGACTCTACTTTTTTCATACCTCATCCGAAATAATTAGGTTATCCTCAGCTCTTTTCTATATTTATGCTGCTATAAATTTAGGCTGCTTGAGGACATAGGGACTACTTTTCATCATTCTGCTTTATTTTATCTTTCTATTCTCCCATTCTGCAGTATTTGTTATTTCAACCCATGTATGTCTGCTTCTTTCTCCTTAAACCCCCAGTCGGCCTTGGCAGATGGCTGCTCACACCAAGCCTGGTTGTGCTGGACGTCTCTTCCACTTAAAAGGGATTTTTTTCCTCTCTACTGTTGTAGCATGCATGCTTGGTATGAGGAATCGCTATGGAGTCAACTACAAAATGCAAGCGAATATCTTCACCACATCCTCATTCAGGAGCAGCAAGTCTTGCAAGTTATTGACTTAAAGCAAAAGGCTGGTTTTCCTTGTATAGAAAAAATTTAACCAATCTGATTGTATGATGGGATTGAATTGTCTCTGTAAAGTACCTCAAAATGATCTGTGTTGTTGATTGTCTCTATAAAAAAGTATGAGTACTAGTATGAGTCCAATATGCAATCCAGCCCTGTTTTGTTAAATCAATCCTGGTTAAGGTAGGTCCATATCTAGTTTAAAAGTGGGCCTAATAAAACACAAATAAAAGATTTGCTTATCTAAATTGTTAAAATAAAAAACACACTTGTCATCTCACCTCTTTGCTATTTTGTACCTTTGTAGCTTCAGTCCTTTTGCTTATTTCCTTTTTGATATATTTGCTTTTGTTGTAATTCATCACCCAACTTCACTGTTATAAATTGCAGGCACCTTCTGTAGGATAATGAACTCCTTCTGTGAATCAGGTTGCAACCAAACTGGGAATTTTTTAACCATCTTGACAATGACATTTTATATCAATGTTTATATCAATGGTAACTGCTTGGTGCAAAACTTTGTTACAATATACTGCAAATAAATAGGAAGACATCAGAGTTACTTTGGCATCATCTGAGGTAGATATGTAAGATAGTTCATGGGTTAAATTCCAAAAAATGATAATAACAACCAAAATCAATTCAATAGCATCTGAAAACTTTTCAGGAAAAAAAATTCAATCACAGAATATAAATTGTGAGGTATTGGCATTTTTAAGAGTTTATCTCAAGAATTTATCAAAATTCCCCATTATAATGAAACTTTACTATATATCTGATGGACAACAAGCAAAGTATAGGAAGGAATGTACTATAGGTGCAAAAACAAACAAACTAAAAACAAAAACAGGAGGAGGGGAATATTGACTGAGGGCTAAATGACACCATTTCTCATGGGCATTATTATTCTAACACAAATGCTGTCTTGGGTGGACTCTTCCTTCAACACTAAAGTTACAGGAGATTTACTTTGTTTGAACACGTTTCCAGGCATACTCCACAAACAAAAGGAATTAGATCATTGTGGAATCCTTTAGTTTGGGTTTTAACTTTCTGTATTGTGAAGTTTTCATATTTGTCTCAGATTAGGATTGACTTAATTGGAAGATTCACTCTTCAATTCAATTTTGAATTGTAGATGATCAAATTCCATCTACAAAATAATAGAATTATCCTTTTAATTGGTTCTGAATCTGCACATTTTAAATACCTACTTCAGCATTACTTATCTGTGGCATGTAGCAACGTCTTCCTGCATCTATGCACATAATATAACAGCTCTTCTTTGATGGCAGGACATTTTTCCCGGATGTACCTGATTAATGACTTTTTTTGAGTATTCATGCCAGCCACTCAAGGTAGACAAAGCTGCATAAACACAAACTGGTTTGTTTAAAGGTACAGATTATCAAAAGAATGGAGAAAAATTGCAATATGAAGATTTAAAATTTAAATAAGAATTAGAAACCTTCGGATCCTCAGCATTGTAAAGAAAAATGAAACAAATGAGCATCATTGACAATAACTGTATTTTTTCATACAAGACAATATTCTATTAGTGCTCAGGATTCCTGCATAGGGTAACAAGAAGAATTTCACACAAAAACAGGATAAGCCAGCTTCAAATATCTCATTGTATAATTCCAGATATGCATCTGATGATCACATTAGATACGAGGGAACTGAAATACTGGCATCTGTTTCTGTTCCATATTTCAGCATGCACATCAGCCAAGTGAGCATTAAGGCGAGCAGAGCAAGGACGCTGGCCACCAACAGGCAAACAGGGCCGACGGGCGACGCTATGTGGTTGAAGTTGTGTACAAAAATGAGTCCCAGAAATAAAAGCACCACCATAGAGAGGACGGAGAAGATGGCGCACACACAACCCGTGGTAAACGCGATGTTTTTGCAAGTCTCGCAGCTTTTCTCGGTGCCAGAGGATTCGGACGGGCCAGACCGTCCTTCCCTGCTTGATGAGCTCGGATCCCGCTGGGTTTGCGGCGGAAGAGCCTCGATCAGCGCGTTGTTGTTCGGAAGGTTCTGAACTTTATATTCCAGAAGCGGAGTCCGGTGGCGACACAGCGGGCAGCCGATTCTCCATCCCTGACCCTCTCGGGAGTGAAGCGTTTCGAGGCACTCCTGGCAGAAGCTGTGGGAGCAGCTCAGCTGTTTGGGAGTGTGGCGCTCCAAGTCGAAGCGGTTGTAGCAGATTTTGCACTCGTATTCTTCTTCTTCGTTAAACTGAGCAAAACCAGAACCGCGACGTTCCTGGACGTTCTCCGCCATGTTTACCCATATTACACCGATCACACAGACCAAACGTTCAAATCAAATCGCACTATCACATCATCAGAAACGCTATTATATTCCATGTGCGTTTATTTATCCGTATTTTGCGCCGGGGGGGCTAACCAGGTCTCAGACCAGCTCGATCCGGTTCTCAGACTTGTGTAACAGTCCCCTGGAGCGAAACTCGAGATCGGGTTTACTATAAAGTTATCATGAAGCATCAAGTCAAATAGCAAGAACAACAAAAGACAAAAAAGAAGGAGGTAAAAAAAAAAAACAATCAAATCAGTGGATGTGTTCAGATTGATGTTCTGATTCGTTCCCTGTCACCTGGTTGGTGTCACAGCGAACATCATGTGTCCGATATGCCCTATTAAAGCGTGTAATTAAAACTGGGCACCTGCTCTGAGATGAAAGAACCCCATCGGAGGTGTCACTTTGAATTTCAGCACCACAGTCAGGTGACAGCGCCCGACAGGACGGTCTGCGGTGGCGTCTTCAACAGCAGTGTCTGGCCAACATTTCCAACAAACCTGAAATACAGAGTTTATTTATAAATAGCTTACAAAGTTAAGATATATATCTGAAGAGGAAGGGAAATATACACGTTTCTCCCTTTTATAACATAAACGTCCTCCATTTTTTTGGCATTGCTTTCAGATGTCTGTAGTAGCCTACATTGCATATAAAAGTGAATATATCAAATTTCTTTTTGTATTCCTTCAATAATGTTTTCTGACGATAATAAGAAGCCCTCACAGAACAATAACGTTTAGAGTGGACACGAATTACTAATAAGAGTAAAAGCAGTTTTTTTAAAAAATTTTTTAATTTTTATTTATTTATTTATTTTTACAGTCATTTTGTTTTTAACTCATTATGATGTATTATAGAAGGCGGGGAAATTGCTTTGTATTGCTCTATCACATACAATCTTATCAGATATATGAAAAAGTACAAGTGGAACAGTATGGATATTTTCCGAGGTACTAAAAGTCCGTCTATCCCAATGTCTAATAAATCGATTGGATGACATATTTATGTGTCATGGATGCAAGGATGAATTGCATATCTGCCAACTTTCTGTGCTGGTTTAAAAAGCAAAGTAAAACACAAAATAATAAAAAAAAAAATCAACAAAAACACATAAAAAAACAATGTTAAAAACAATGAATTGTTGTGTGAGTAAGAGGAGCTTTACATAGCCACGAGTTTCAAAAATTATTCTAAAAAGTAATTCCCAACATAGATCAGAATCCATTTTAACCTCATTATACAGTGTACATGCACACAATGCACATATTACTTTGAGGTTATATTATTCTTGCTAGCTTTAGTCAGAATAGTTTGTACTCAATTGCTTTCAAAATAAAGTAGTTATGTGTCTTTTTAGCACATTCAGTTTGTTTGCATACAAAAGTATTTATCAGAAATAGTTATAGGCTACTTTAGAATATGATATTACTGTAACCAAAACATCCTTTATCTTTTTTAATGTAAAACACAGACAGATGTGTTTCCCCACTTTACCTTTAGCTGAATGCAAATACATATGAAAAATAAAACAGGTAACTTGTTTCAATCTGAATTTCATAAACTCTAATTCTGCTATCTTTAAACAAAAGCTCAAATGCGCCCTCTTGTGGATAAATGTAGACATGCATATAAAGTCATAGGTACTGTACTTGTTGGATGGTTTTCTGCTTTATCTTCCTAAAACTGACATGGAATTAGATGCCACTTGCAAATATATTGAATAAGTGAGGTGGAAGGGCCTGGTTGTGTCAGTGGTGAGAAATAAATGCGATTAAACATTTGTCTAAAAGTCTATTTTAATGTTCAGAGGCCTCATGTGCCCTGGCATCTTTGACTTGAGTTTATGCCGATATTATTCTCACTTCATGAGAACCTCTTTTCAGGCATAAGTGATATAATTATAAAAAATATAAAAACATAAAATACAAATTATGAATGTGTGTGAAAATTCACCAAAACAGTAAATAAACCACAATTTTCAAAAATCTATGAATTTCACCAAAACACTGTGAATACTCCAGGGGTTTCTAACAGTTGCACATTTCTTCATAACACTATTAAAAAGGTTGGAGCATTTTCTAGATCATTTACACCCATAGTTGTGTCACAGTAATAATTCAAGGAAATAATGTAAGGACATTTCTTCATAACTGTGAGAATACTTCATTGTGAATCATTTCAAATACAGAAGGCTAAATAATGCTTATATATATAT